GTGCTTCCGATTTCTTAGGTACTTCTGCTTTCTTAGGTACTTCTGATTTTCCACATGATTCCGGTTTCACGAGTACTTCTGGTTCCCCAGGTGCTTGTGCTTTTGCGCGTACTTCCGGTTTCTTTGGCACTTCTGTGGTTCCAGGTACCTCCGTTTTGTTAGATACTTCTGGTTTCTTAGGTGTTTCCTGTTTCTCAGGTACATCTGATTTCCTGGGTGTCTCAGGTTTCTTAGGTACCGATAATATCCCAGATGCTTCATGCTTGTTAGGTACTTCTGGTTTCTTAGGTGTTTCCTGTTTCTGAGGTACATCTGATTTCCCGGGTGCTTCTGGTTTCCTAGGTACATCCGATTTGTTAGATACTTCTGTTTTCTTAGGTGTTTCCTGTTTCTTAGGTACCTCTGATTTCCTGGGTGTCTCCGGTTTCTTAGGTACCTCTAATATCCCAGATGCTTCCTGCTTGTTAGGTACTTCTGGTTTTCCAGGTACCTTCTGATTACCGGGAGTCTCCGGTTTCTTATTTACTTCTCCTTCGTTGCTTTTCGTTTCTGTGGGATCTTCCTCCTTCTCCTTCTTCTTCCAAATTTTGTCCAGTACACATTTCGCTGTTTTTGAGCAGCAGAACGCTGCTAGCACGCACGCATAGATAATTGGAATCAGTATGGGAGTTCCATATACGCCCGCGAGAGACCAAAAAAAGTATGATATTCCAGAGCTGGATTCCACAATGAGCTGTTGCATAATGGACATAAGGCCTGAATACAGGACAGTGGCGACTACTATAAGCTTTATCCATGCTCTTCTCCCCATTTTACAACGTTTCCATTTCTTGAAACCCCTCCTGCAACTATTCGCTGCAGTTATATCCTGCGATGACTTCTTGTTGTGCTCTGCCTGCTTTTCTTTGTCTCTGGACTGTAATTTTCTGCTCATGTCGTCGAACAACGTGTTCTTCATGCGCCTACCCGTCCCACGACCGTCGTAAAAATTACGTTGACCCCGTGTGTGCGCATCCTTTCCATCACTCAATGACACGGTGGTCGTTCCAACGGTAGTCCCATCTATCGTGTCATATTGGCTTGTTGCATTACCTGATGATGTACCTAGTGTACTCGCCTAACACAAACAACAACGGGAATACATGCGAGTGTTGTGGTGTACACAATGATGTACAGCATGGAAATAAATGGAAAGGCGGCAGATTTATAGTTGTTAGTAACGAGTTAACAGCCTATCACAATAAATGTGCTAACTCCCCCAAAATACAGTTGTTTCTTCCATACACAATCAGCAAGTTGCCATAAGCACAGGGCTAAAATAAATGTAGAAAGTTTCACAGGGAACATCATTCTGTTTCTTTCTTTTGCCTTTAGAAAATGGTAGAAGTGGCGATATGTTGCGTGTTTATATGTATGAACTACAGAAATACTATTTTCTCTTCTTCCACATGTAGGTGTATAGATTATGCGTGTAATACTTCTTTCTATTGGGAAGTGGTAAATATTGATAAAATCAATTGCGTACGAAATATACTATTCTTACCTAGGTATGTACATATAAATTACATGAAGTATACATATGCACCATAATATAAATAGAAAATAAGGGAAGTGCGAAAGAGCACACAGAAGAACCCATTTTTGTATACATGCTGTACGATATGAATGTTGACTAAAGGGGTCAATTATTTTTCACAAATTCAGCACCGGCTCATGTGCACTATGTCGCCGTTTTAACGGTGTAATGGGAGCAAAGAGCATATGCACGAGAGCAACATTCCATATGTGGAATAACACTGTACTGGTTTTAAGTTAGGTATAAGGGTGAGGAAGATAGTGAACCTAAGATAATTTATACCCTTTACAAATGGAAACGACGAAAAAAATTTGGAGTAGCGCCGCGAGCTCCAAGTTCCATTGTATCAGTGTTTTTGGGGGGGTTGTTATTGTCACGTACTCGCATAATTATACATGTATATCGTGGCCGTTTTTTATTTATGGGGGTAGTGATTTATATCGTTCTCAGGTTTTATTACGCGTAGTGATAAATAATAAATGCAGAAATATAGTTTCACAACGTTCTTATGTGTGTATACCCGCATCTCTATCTTTTTTTTGAAAAAGTGTGCACGGATTTAATTAAGAGCGTAAGGAGCATATATAAATAAAGGATAAGTGTAGTGAAATTGTGGGATTAAGGATTGGGGTTTAAGGTTTCAGGATTATGTGATTGCGGAATATCGATTTAAGATGCGGGGTGCAAGGCTTACGGATTTAATATTGTAAGGTTCAGGAATGCGTATTCAGCATTCCGGGTTGCGTATTCAAGATTAAGGGTTTTATGGTTCGCAGTTTACGAACTTTAGGAGCCTTAAGATTTTAGGGCTTTTTTTTTTTTTTTTTTTGTTTTTTATTACTGAATCATAGAACTTCATAATTACAAGGGTATGTGAATATTATGCTAGTATTATGTATATAAAGCGCTTGTGTACCCACGTATCTAATATATGTATCCCACAAGCTCAACCTCAGTTACCTCAAATGTGCAATGCATCCGGCATGTAGGGACATACGTCCGTAGTGCGTTGTTTTTGTTGTTTGTGGGAGTAACTTACAAATCGTGTATAGTTGTGTCGCGTTCTCTTTGGGAACACGGGACGGAGCAGTGGAAGGCGAATGCCAACGGTTGTTGGTCCATTTGCCACTCTGCTATATTTGTGCCGTATTTATGCGTTGTGTGCGTGTTGTGCATGAGCTTGTGTGTGCACTTATTTTCCAAAGGGAATAACCAAGAAGGGCGACGATAACGGCAGCGACGAACAACAGGATGGGGGTAGTGGCGGTAAGGACGGTGTCGGTTAGGTCAGGAACATCTGGGCCACCTTCTTTGGGTGGATAGCGGGTATCAGCGTGTAGAACGTGTATTTCAGACTCTGGATTAGGTGGTACAAAGGATCCACCTAGACTAGTTGCATCGGGTGTGAAGGTTAGTGAGAAATAAGGGCCACACCCCTTATCAGGCGTATTGTTGGTGCAGTCTAGGTTACCGCTCTTTACATCACCTGCGTTTTGTGCACCGTCTGCGCTATCACGCTGTGTACCACCAGAGGATGTTGTGCCCGTGCCTCCTGTGTCGAATTCTGTATACCACGCGGGTGAATCCGTTATTGGCTCGGAATGGAACATAGGGTCTGATCCCTGTGTCCCCTGAGCTCCCGCATTCTGGTCAGAGCCGCCAGGGGGTCCCGGTTGTGCTGCACTGGATGATGCTGGTGCCCCTTCTGGTCCACTGGAAGTTGATGTTGTTGTTGATGCTGGGTTCTGGGGTGGTGCTGGTCCCGGTGCGGGTGCTGCTGTGGCTACTGATGGATCCTGATTAGTAGTCGTCCTTACTGCGGGAGGATCATTACCTGTAAATTCGGAAGGAAAAGTGAACGTAATGAAGCTAAAGTTTGAAACGCTGGTGGATGGGCCATGCGGTTGCAACCGATCCTGCACAACAATGTCACGGTTGCCCACATGGTGCCACGGTGCGAACGGTGGTTGGCTGGTGCCACCCCGGGAAAAGACGCTCCCTGTCTGCAACTACACAACACAACACACAGTGTGTGTGTCGGTCTGCGTCTACATAGCGCGGCGGACCCGTGGCTTGGCCGATCGCTCTGCCGCTTGCATTCTTATTCGACGTTTGGTTTCTCGCTCTCTGCGTGGTTTCTCTCTCTCCGTGGTGTCTCTCCCTCTCTCTCAGGAAAATTGTTGTTTCATTTTTTTTTTCTTGTTTTTTTAACTCTTGTTTGAGTGAATGTGCTGTGTGCACACTGCTAGATTCACCTGTCCCTGAACTTGGGTTAGGACTAGTGGGCGCGTTCTCTCTCGTGTCCTGTGCCTGCAGGAGTTTCCGAACATCATCCGTCAGCCCCAGATCACTATCTGAGGTACTGCCGCACCTAATGGAGACACCGCCAGATGTGCTGTTGCTGTCGGGACATGGCGCCGTACCTGGGGGCTTTGCATCCGAATCCTTAACCTTCGTGTCTGTCGACGCCCCAGCTGTGCCTGCTGCCTGTCGTCCTGGGTCTGAACCTTGTCTTGGTGTCGATGGTCTACGTGGTGGTGGAGGTGGTGGTGGTCTGGCTGGTAATACTGGGGATGCCGGTGCTTTCGGTACCGACTGTGACCTTTCTCCTCCGGTATCCCCGAGTTCGGGTCCTGCACGTGGTTTACCTAAGATGGGGAACGGAAGAAAGATGGATGAAAAGATGACAAAAAAAAAAAGGGACACCAGTGGTACAGAAAGAAGGGGCCGGGACGGTGAGGTCAGGTAGCGGCAGGGTGGGGCTGTGGTCGGCTGGATGAAGTGGGTCGAGGTAGGACTCGGTGGACTGCGTATTCGGTGGACTGGCGTAGATGGTAGCAGTACACTTTTATTTGTTGCCGTCCTCGACCGCTGCCGTGGGCACTCATCTCCGTCCTGTCCCTCGTCGTCGCTACCGTCGTGGCCGCTACCACTGCCATCGCTACACGCTCATCGCCCATGCCGTCGTGGCCACCGCACACACACCTCGTCTACACAGTGGCCGTCGCTGCAGTCCGCTACACTCGTCTAAACTCCGTCGTCGCCGCTCAACGTCAACGAAGTGTGGTGCTGTGCCGCCGTGCGTGCTTGCGTTGTTGTAGCCGTGTGGGTGTTGTTGTGGTGGCATCCGTGCGCAGTCGTATTGGTACGGTGCGTATGTGTATTCGTGCTGCTCCCCCTCGGTCCTTACCTGTCGGTTCCTTGGGTGATGGTGTTGTCGGCGTTTCTGTAGCCTGTGTTGTTGCACGTGCGTCGGGGGGTTTAGCGGCGGCTACCCCTCCGGCTGATTTGGAAATGGTGGACGCTCGTCCCGTGGATGCCCCTGGGAGAGACGATGACGCTGGTAAGCTTGAATAGTGGTCCTGTTCTTTATCTTCTTCTGAATCTGACAATTCCCCTGTGTCATCTTCCTCAGAGTCAGATGGGGGTTCTAGTGTGGAACCAGGTGCTTTATCCCCCGAGCCCTTTATTTTTGCCTTAACTTCTTTCCTGATTTGCGTCATAACGCTTTTCATGGCTGCCTTTAAGGTGTCCCCTATTTCTTTCTCGAGTCCTTCCTTCAGAACATTCAAACTATCTGTTGTTCCTGCGTTGTGCACTTTATCGATGTCCGAAATTGCTTTACTACACTTGGATGTTAGACCTGATCTTGCTATTGTTCGTGTCGTCCGTGAATTCTGCCATAGCCAGTCCTTAATTTTCTTGCCCATATCCCACTCTGACGCTTTTATGTTTTCAAACACTCCCTGTCCACATTTACCTTGGCTTATTAAACCACCCCCTGGCCCTTCTTCCAGCTGTTTCATGGTGTACCATGCATAATATAAACCCCATTCGCCACCACATGATGATTCCTTCAGTATGTCCATATACATATTGACAATGGCACATCTGACATATTCCCTCAGCTCATCATCATTACTAACCCCCATACTCCCTCCGCGCGTAGGCCAACTGTTGTCATTCATAAAATATAATGCTCCTACCATCAGTTTGCACATAATTCTGTCTCCCGCGCGTGTTACCTGGCGCGGCGGACCATCTGGATACTGTGGATGCTTATAATACGCATTCATACAGTTCGCACCCAGAGATTCTAGGTCCATTTGGTCTATATAGCGTATGAATTGCCCTAATTGAACTTGTATATCTGCCCACAGCTTTTTCTGCAAATAATATAACACATATATGCATAGTGTACAACTTGCGCGGCCTCCTTTACACTTAATGCACCTGTGAATACATTCCTGTGTACAATGCACTAGGCGCGCGCGCACTATCATAACAGCGGGCACCGTCCATACTCATTCACATATGGCACGTATCTGCGCTCCATAAACTGCCTCCCCATTATGCATAAGCTAAGTAAGGTGCACTGCGTTTAATATCCGGACCATCACTCTAAGTTACCAGATAATCCTCGTGGCTAATGTCGGCACCCCGCGCCCGCACGTATTCGGCCAACACGTCGCCTAAGAGCGCTGCTGACATATTAGTGTTATTGTATTAGTATGCGCTACTTTGTCCAGTGCCTTGGAAATATTACTATGCTACATATATCACATGTAAACCCATGTAACATGCTCTCCCTTAATATGTTCATAGTCTGCTAAATAATTATTCTGCGTCTACTTCTACAACAATATTTACATGAACTGCGCGTATCATATGTACTTGTACTACGTTGTGTGTTCCCCTATTCTATGTATGGTTGCGCTAAGGGAGAACTATATCGAGAAGAAAGAAAAAAATACAAGGATAGAATAACAACAAGAGAAAGAAACAAAAAAAAGGAAAAAATAGAAAAAATACTACACCACGCATCATGAATACCACCCCCCACTGCCTGCTCCACTAAACGCCTTCATACACAGTCTCTCTGCGTGCGTACACCTAAAACGAACAACAACAGCAATGCTTCTGCCGTCGTTGCCGCCTTCCTTCCCGCGGCTGGTTCGTCGAATTCTTCTTACACTAGACCGCGTTTGCTCAGACCGACCCCCTTACTCGGAGACAATCCCGTGTACGAAGACGGCGGACGGCGGCAGGAGGAAGAGAACAAGTAGTTGTTGTGCATTTATCACGACTTCCAGAAGCGTTGACGGAAGAGGCGTGCACGGAGAAGCGGTGACGGAGAAACGTTGACGGAGACGGGGTGACGGAGAGGCGTTGACGGAAGAGGCGTTGACGGAGAAGCGTTGACGGACAGGCGTTGACGGAAGAGGCGTTGACGGGAGAGGCGTTGACGGAGAACGCGTTGACGCAGACAGGCGTTGACGGAGAGAGGCGTTGACGGAGAGGCGTGACCCGGCGAGGCGTTGACGCAGAATGGCGTTGACGGAGAGAGGCGTTGACGGAGAACGGGGTGACGGAAGAGGCGTTGATGGAGAAGGGGGTGACGGAGAAGAGCGTTGACGCAGAGCCGTTGACGCAGACGGGGTTGACGGAGAGAGCGTTGGCGCAGACGGGGTTGACGCAGAACGGGGTTGACGCAGAATCGTTCACAGAGAAGTGTTGACGGACACAGCGTGACCCGCAGACGGGGTGACGGGAGCGGCGTGCACGGAGACAGCGTTGCCGGAGAACGCGGTGACGGAGAGGCGTCACCCGGACACGGGGTGTGTGTATATTTTTTGTTGTTGTTGTTGTGGTTAATGCGCGGTGTGTAATAGTTGTAGTAGTAGTAGTGGTCGTCGTACTTTTTTTTTTAAGAAGGGGAATAAAAAGTGTTCAATATTGGTACTATGCTCGGGCCATATGCCACGGACATACTGGCCTTTCTAGGGGCATGGGAGGATTATCTACAGACAAGGAAGATAACGGACGGAAAGGCATATTGGGTAAGTGCTCTTGTATACAACATTCTGCAGGAAGGGGCAAGCTGCACTTTGGAGAGCAATATATATACATGGGCAATTGGACCCTGTATGTGTGAGCATAGACTATTTATATACGTGTCGTACTTTACGAGAGCTATGGTGAGGACAGATACAGTGAATACAGCATGCTTGAATCCTAAAGGTCGTGTGGTTAGATGTAGACGAATTTAAGGGCACAGCGGAATAAAGGATATACACACGCATACATGGATTCTTCCACTCGCAGAAAAAATTAAGGAGTGAGGTTAACATTATCTTCAAGGAAGTAACCACGACACTCACCCAACGTAGCGGCAAGACCGCTGGTATATGTGGAAGTCTATATACCGGAGCGGAAACAAATGTGGCTACATGCAAAAGCAGGTGCCATGAAATTGCAAACCTTATGTTATATATACGAGGTTATGATTATAAAGGGCAGAACGAAGGATGGCACAAGAGGAACGTGAACAATCGCTCAGCGCAGCTGTTTAGGGAATATTTAAAGTGTACACTGGGCACTGAAGTTTTAGTACAGGTGTATGGGCAAACTAGTGACCATAAAGACATAATAACGAAGGTTGCGGAAGCACTCAGGCAACCGGATAAACCAGGACAACAGCACTATGTGCCAGGGGTGTGTGAGGGCCGGGACTATGGCGAGGCCATATTCGGATTACGTGGTATTGGACCAAGCATAAAGACTAAGCTGGACGACTGGAAGAAAGGTTTCGCGGGACGCACCACAGGAACTACACACGGCAGAGTGCAAAAGTGTGCTTGGGCAGAACAGGACGTGGAGGAAAGTGACCAGCAGTGCAATGAACAGGCGGGGGCGCCACCACAGGACTCCGAGCTCATGCAGAGCATACAGTGGTGGACGGAAACTGCTACCTTTGAGCGATTGAACAAGGTGTTAGACGACATGCAAGACAAAGGGGAATCCAAGTGGAAATGTGAAATACAGATTAAAATAAAGGAGAAGATAAAGGAAAAGGTCCAGGAAATGAAAAAAACTGTGAACAGGACGGTAACGACCGCTGCAGGTGGACATGTGACAGGAACTGCAAGAGGTGGAAGCGGAGGAGGACGAGGAAGACCGGGTGGATCTGGTGCAGGAGGAGGAAGGGGAAGGGGGGAACCTCCCTCCAGCCAGAGCCCGGGCCCTGGAACAGGACCAGGAAGAAGACCAAGACCGCGGCCGAGACAGCACCCGAAGTCGCCGGAACCACCAACGAAATCACAGCCACCGGAGAAACCGGCCGGTGCTAACGGCAATCCGCGCGGCCCTGTCCAACCAGTAGCGGAGAAACCGGTGGCAACGACGACGACGACATCATCTGGGAGTGGTGGAGGGACCACACGCAGTGCAGCTATTGGTCTAGGAAAAGGGTATAAGGGGGATACGCAAGCGGCGAAAGATTTCTTAGTGAACGTTCTAGTGAGTTATATAAAGGATAGGGGAATACCCGGGAATGATAGGGATAGGCAGTTTTACGTAAGTTCTTAAACGAGGAAGATTCAGGACAAAGTGCAGGAGGGATATGTTCATATGATAACGCAGAATCGGAGGAATTCTTAAATAGGATATATATGGCAGCAGTGTGTATTGGACTAATAATTGAAAGAACAAGAAATAGAATTATGTATGTTAAGGAGGACCATGTATTTTAAAGAGTGCGTAAGAAATTTAAGAAAAAATAGAAAACGGAAAGAAGATGTATATGCTTATAACTATATGCTTATTGCGCGATGTAGGATAAGTTTTGGGCAGATATGAAGACTGTGTACGAAGAATTTGTGAAATATATGGAAAAACCGGATCAGCAGGGACCGTATGGGACACTGTGTCAGGAGGCTGCAAAGCATCAGCATCAGGAAAACATGTTACAGGGTGACCGTGTCGTATGTGAGTTTATGTTGGGGGCGTTGCTTTTTAAGCATGGGCTCGATGTGTCTGGCGCAGGCAGGAGTGCGCAGGGGACTGCAGAACACGTAACACAAACGCAACGCTATATGAAGTGTATGATAGTGAATGTATTCATAGATAGTATGCTTGTTCCCGAGTGCCTGGAGACAGAGGACGCAAGGTATGCAGAAAAAGCTATATATGAATTATTGAAGGCCCACACTGGGTTCCACGAGAATGATGATTGTGATGGCGTAAACTTCGACAAGACCCAAGTAGCCGGGGGTTATTTAAGGCACACAATACGAGACTGGATAAAGACGGAAACGATAAAGTGGGACGATACAGAAGCTGCAGGAATATTGAGCAGTAGGTGTAAGAACTGGAGTGAAGGAGGACAGACACCTAGAGGAACAGCGCAAAAGGACGTGAAAAACATAGATAACGACGAGGAGAAAAAAATACAGGAGGAAGTTAAAAACATAAAGGGAGAAGTGAAGGCCGAAATGGACAAAGTACAGAAGAGTATTGAGAGCAATAAGGACGCAATACAGAGCAAGGCCGTTACCGCGGCCAAACCCGTTGCGACAACAGCTGCAGGTAAGACCAATGGGAGAAAGCACCAATACGCCCCGCACACGAACACGAATACCGACCGTACTGCCGAATGTGGATGCCACCACCACAACAACACGCACACGCCAGCCACAACAGCACAGCGCGGCACCCCTTCGTTGAGCTGAGCGAGCATCGTTCACGACGGCAGTGGTAGCGCACACGCGGCACCGGAGACGAGATGAGGGATGCAGCGGGACGATGCACGACATGACGGCAACATAAATGTACTGCTACCATCTACGCCAGTCCACCTAGACCCACTCGACCGCGTTCACCTCACCGTACGCGTTCGGTCGCCTGACCCAGGCTACCCGAGTCTTACCCCGACCCACTGCATCGACCCATGCATCGACGCATGCAGCCGACCCTACCCTGGCGCTACCTGACCGCACTGTCCCGGACCCTTCTTTCTGTACCATTGGTGTCGTTTTTGTTTTTTATCATATTTCTCGTCCATATTTCTGCGTTCTTCATTTGCAGCCGAGGAGAAGGAACCGAAGAAAGAGAAAGCACCACCAGCTAAGGTACCAGAGGTACCGAAGAAGCCTGTTCCTGACAGGAACACACCAGAGCCCGGGAGTGGGACCGATGGAAGAGGAAGGTCCGATGATTCCGCAACGGGATCCATACCACCACCTCCACCTGCGGCACCACCAACAGCTACCAGTGCAGGGGACACCCAATCAAGCGGATCACCACCATCGCCAGAACCGGCACGTCCTGCAGCACCCGCAGACCCAGGACCAGGAGGAGCATCTTCCGGTACAGCAAGTACAGGTACTGTCGGATGTCCAGACAAGGAGGGTACATCATCGGGCGTATCCATTACCTGTGGTACATATACTGGTCCAGGGTTGGAAGCCCCTCGTATTCCTCCGGGTGTTCAGATTACACTTGAGGATGCTAACACCGGCCCAGGTATACTCTCTTTTGTAGTTAACATGGGTACTCTCTGTACCATGTGCACGGTATTATGGGGAAAGTGTGTACCACGGTACAAACACATACAGGGAGAGGACACAAAAAAAAAAAAAAAGAGAACAACTTTTCCGGACAGAACACGGACAGAGGGCGCGAGAGAAACCAAACGTCGAATGAGAATGAGGATGCCAAGATCGCTGGGTCGGCCGCTGGATGTGGACGTCGACGTCGACAGAAGTCGACACACGAACACACTGTGCGTGTTGTGTGGGAGAGAGAGTCTTTTCCCCGGGGTGGCACCGTCCGCACCGTGTCCCCATACCCTTGTGCACCATGCCGCCGTCTCGTCAACGATGGTGGTCAACCGTGTGGCCAAGCATCCAACGACGAACCTGGGCAAGCGGCAACCGAGCATGTCCAACCAACAACCACGCACAAAGATTCAGTTGCATCCATATTCTTGCCTTCTTCAAATTTACAGATGAACATGCTAATAAGGTTACACAGGGCATAGACCCGGCAGGATCAGGCGTGCAACCTGGGCTGGCACCAGTGCCACCTTCATCTGCAGTACAACCAGAGGCAAAACCATCCGCATCAGAGACAACAACAACATCTCCTGAAGCAACGCCAAAATCAACAGGAACAGAAACAACATCAACAGCAAACGCAGGGGACGATAGTACGCGTGACCGTGGCAATGCCGTCGTCGATGGCGGCAACGATGACGCCCCCCCTCCTCTCAATCCACCCAAACCAAAACCGAACCCGAACCCCGATCAGGCCAGCGGCGGCACCGCCGGCACCGGCGGAGGCGCCGACCAGTCCTCAGGAGGTGGTGCAGGGGGTGCTTCTGGTGGAGGAGGAGGTGGACACTTCCAACTTGACCTTGCTCCGAAGGAACTTGACGTAGGGGGCGCAGCAGGAGGATTTTCACCACCAACCTTAGAAGCTGCATCACCTGCTGACACAGACAAGGGTCTCAGTGGACCCAGTTCAGATGGTCCTGATGGACCCGACCTAACGAACACCGTCCTTACCGCCACTACTCCCGTGCTGTTTTTTCTCACTGCCGTCACCGTCGCCCTTCTTGGTTATTCCCTTTGGAAGGTAAGCACACATCCACACAAGCACACACACAACGCACATACGACGCGACACCGTATATGCGTATCCGTCATATGTACCATAGAAATGTGTTCCCAACGGGATGTTTTGTACGGTCATTCCAACACAAATGCACTCCTACATCGTCCTCGTTCTTTTTTTTTTTGTAGTACTTTGCCTACCTCGCCAAACGACGACGAACATATCGAACAGTGCGTGACGTGCCGTCACCGCCACTCGACGAAGAAATATTGGAGCATTTACAACGCGGCGCGCCACCGCTCCATTACGGGTACACGATGATTCGGGATAGGCGGGCCGCATCTGCTGCCGAACACCGACGACGACGCTCACCACGCGTGCATAGGCGCACGATTATCGAGCTACATCTAGAAGAGCTCAACGAATGCGAAGCGGCCGCATGGGAAAACGTCAAAGACGACTATTTGCACATTGTCGTGCAGGAGTTTGCGCAGGATTTGATGCGGGACGAGGACACGAATAACAACATCTTGGATGCTCCTACCACAAACCAGGATTTATCAGGAAACAATGTTTCATCCACCGTGGATCCATCCACTGACATCGAACGAACGGATGCATGTCCACCGAATGACCCCGATCCATGGAGTTGTATGGAAACCATACAGTTAGCAACGGAACCTTGTCCACCTAATGACTGCGATCCATGGAGTTGTATGGAAACCATGGAGTTAGATGCAGAACAGAGTCGTGCCCCTACTGTTCCGGGGGACGAGACGTCGGATTGCACCCACTGGATTAACTGGATTGACCGCAACAAGCACCTATTGCAGGACTGCACGACGCAAACATGGTTTCTGCAATTAAAAGCGGAATGGAAACAATACCTGCTTGCACACATGGTGGCAACCGAGGACAACGGAGTATACGGGCACAGTGAATTAGGTGACGCTGCAATCCTGCCGATGAAGAAATTGGACTTGTGGAGACAGTGCGTTGCCCAACAACATCGGCAAATGAGTATGTATAAGGAGGAGTGGTTTAAACATTTGTTAGAAAATATCGAGGAGGAGACAGTGCCGGGCAAACGCGATGTATCTGGAGTGGAAAAAGACTTAAAAATGGAAATAGTAACAGCAGCAGAAGACATGCTACAAGTGAGAGATTTACCGCGGTCGCAACCACTGCATCAACAACCTCATATGAAAAAACCATTAAGCACTAAAATATGGATACTGATCCTGGCATTAGTAATAGAACAGTATGAGCTTGAAAGCCGTTTTCAGGAGAAGGAGTTATATGTGGATACTTTATTAGAACACCTTTAATATTAGGTTGAAACAATGCGCACTTAAATAAATGGAAATGACACATAATAAGAACAGTTTACTTTTTCCCCTTAATCGATTTACATTATTTGTTACTACGCTTAAGTTACTTCCTACTCCTGTTTTTTTTTCCCCTGTTATTTTCAAAATTAAGCACTTTATACATTTTTATGTATTGCTCCTTTTTTTTCCCCCCCTCTGAATGTTATATACATGACAGCTTTTTGTAGAAATAATAACTGCCTCTTTCTATGCTCTGTCTATTTAACGAATGTGTCAAATATTCACATTTAATAATAAGATCCTTCTGGAATTTGCGCCGTGTGAAAAAAGAAAAAAAACAAAAGCAAAAAAGAATACAAAGTAATGTAGTTTCTATAATAATACGGAAAAATGTGCCGTTGTGTTAAATAATACGTGTAACATCCTTATCATGATATGCACAACGTTGCCAAATTTAATTTACATATTATGAAATATTCCATATATTGTATGTACACCTTGGGAGTATACTACTTTCTCAATCATGCATATGTATATTCTTACAATGTACAATCGTAAGGCGGCTTCGTTCCCTTACAACTTCCAAGACTTGCAGAGAAGAAATTTGCTATGATCTTCTCTGTGGCTTATAATTTATACGAAATATGCTCCTTCCCGTGAACACTTTAATAATGTTGTTGCATTTAACCCCATTTTTAAAATTTTTAGTATGATGTAAATTAAGATAACATTTGTTATCATAGCAAATATGATACTAATCATAGTGTGACCTACCGTCGCACATATTAATGAGACCACAGCACTTATTATTGCTGGTGACATTATATTTTTCTCAAGCAAAAATACTTTCATTCTTGCCATTCCACTCATCCTTCCACGTATATTACGAATACTTTCTTCTTCATACCACATCACTCTTTTCAATTGCTTCTCAAAGCACTTATCCATTTTACGTAAAAAGTTCCGTATGCGCCTTATGCTTCTACTAAGTCTACTGCGACCATGCTGGCTTTGTCCATAATTACATACATCAATTCCATTATATTCTACTAGATCTTCATAATTATCGTTGTAGAACAGGTCATTGGTCGATTCCTGATATGATACACTTGAGTCTCCCGCATCAGACTTTGTCATTTCGTAGTAATCCTTGTTTTGTCCTTTAGATAGGCCCGGACAAAAATATTGACTTCCCTGTACGCTGTCACTGTCATTTGGGCAAAAATAAGATGATCCGCGTTTTCCTGAAAACTCATAATAATCCGGAAATAAAGTTTCAGTTCCCTTCAGGCACCTGGCGCCCTTCATGCTTGACCCCTTTTCCCCTACATCCTTGTTGTCCAGCTGTGCTCCATATGTAGCGGACTACACGAAAAAAAAAAATAATAAATAAAAAGTCAAATTACATATCATTCCAAAATGAACATATTTACATCCATATAATAGTAAAGTCGCTTCCTCCAAATGAACCGCCATAACAACAGTAAAGATATGAGTTCAAAAAAAAAAAATAGTTCCTGGTAGTTATATTATCAGACCGCTCACCATATTAAAGTGTTGCCATGTCCATAGTAAAAGAGTAAAAATGAGAACTTTAACAGCACCAGGGAATAACTTTTTTGTTTCTTCTGTCTGTTGACAGTTATTCATTGTTGTAAATTTGTTCATCGTCCTGTATTTCTTATTTGTAATGTGGTGTCTACCAAAACAACACTTCTTCGTGGTGGAGTTATAGCATAAGTCCTGCTAAATTATTTTTTTATTCTTAATAAAAGTGAATCAACCTTATAAAAATCCCTGCTGAACAGAATAAACAATTTTATTTACTAAGCATGAGCGCATGCCATCTGCTAAAATATTTATAAAACTTATTTAGTTCCAGTAAGAAAATAAAAATATCGTTTAATTATGGATAAGACGATTTAATAATTTATATACCAAATGAATAAAAAATAATTCTATTCCTACAATACATGGTCGTGTTTATAATAAATGCAAAAAACATACTTGGTGCTACATTAATTTTATTTTTTCTAATTTAGATGCATTCTAAGAATATTGTATGAACGTTTCTTCATTTTTTTTTTTTTTTTTTCCTTTCCCGAGATCATAAAAAAGTTAAATAATTTAGTTAAGACATGCGCGATCCGAGAAAGATTCGCGCATGTACCGATATCCTTAATGCACCATGACAACACTTAGTATGGCAATTTGTCCGTTCCCTTATCCTTACAACATTACGTACAAAAATACATGTCCCCCTTATGTATATATATGTCTCGCCCAGGTACGTATTTATTTACCATACATTACAAACTGCCTTCATGTAAAATTTTACTAAGTAACTTTGATGGTGCATCATCAAATATGCAAACTTAAATTTTAATACAATAGGAACCAACAATGTTCAATGTAATGTCCGAGTAAGGAACGAACATGAATATATTCATCCTCATATTACTAATGATTTACGTATATATATATTAAATTTAATAAACAACACAGAATAAATATTATATTATAATTATAAAATATATATATGTACTTATTTTTTTTTTTTTCTTTAGTTGCAAATAAATTTACAAACTTGTCCTGTTCTTATCTATATTGTATTATTTATTCTATGATATATTTTTTAATTTTTTTTAAACCACCCAATGTTCATATAAAATATTTTAATTAATTCTATATTATTGCAAGTTCCCTTAATACAGAATATTGAAAAAATTATTTTACCAATCTATTATTGTTTTTGTTTTTTTTTCTCTCTTGATGAATTAGATATCATATTAAATAAATAATATCTGTTATGGACAAAATAGGACATACTACTTTTACAAAATACAGACACCACCGAAGTAAAAGGAAACGATATATAGAGATGTTGCATATTATCAACAGAAAATTTGTCCTATAGCTGAAACATTCAATGCTGCACACATAAATTTCGAAAAATCTGATGTATATATACAACATGAAAGAAAACAAACAAAGACATTTACTTCCTTAAATTTCTCGTGTTTGCTATTTTATTAACTTCATGAAAATAATCCAGAGAAGTATTCATTTAACAATTAAACTTAATATGTTCACAATTTGAACTGTTTCACAGAATTATTCTATGAGCAACATTTTATTAATATGTAAATAATCCTATCATTTCGCATATGTAAATATTTACCATAAGCCCTGAACCTACCATATACCACATATGTAATGTGGTCCCTCCTTTCTTTCTTTCCCTGATGCTTGAATTATGTAGCATGAATTTTAAAAATGTTCATAACTGGAGCTGTAAGTTAATATGTTGTTCACTCATTGGTGTGTATATTGTGAGGTGTGTGTGTAATATAATAAAACAAGGCAATACAATTAAGGCATACATGATGAAGTGGGTGAGTGTATCAGTGAATGTGTATCTGTGAAAATGCAGCAATGAAAATGTACCTGTATACATGTGTCTGTGAATGTACCAGTGGTGAATAATAAATAGGTGTGCACGGATTGACGAAATAGATAATAAAAAAATAAATAATGCACTGAGTAAGCAACGTAAAAAGGTATAATATAATATAAAAATATAATCAGATGCTTGCTATATGTCTTTTTTTTTTTTTTTTTTTTTGAATCTCCTTCAATATGATCATTCTCTCATGTGTTCTTTTTTTTTTTTTTTTCATGTGAAAATATATGGAAGTGAGAAAAAAAAAATAAAAAAAAAAAAAAGTACTTAGGAAGGGAAAAACGGATAGCGTGATGCAAGTATAGATGTGAGAATTTTTTTTTTTTTCACAGGATTAACCTGTGGACAGTGGCACCACTGAACAAGTGTACTTCTGTATTTTCATGTATATAATTACGGTTTGAAAAAACGTCCCCTGTTTTTCATCTATGCACAAGATGGTGCCTTAATTTGGTCGGTCTCTAAAAAACTTGTTCACCCCTCGTTCAAGAAGTGCTGTAAGTACGAAAGTCCAGACCATACAATTCATATAGCACGGGCAAACGGGGCACCTTCTCAAAACAATGCTGTAAAACGTTCTCCTATGACTCGCTTTCACATATGCGGACAACGCTATGTGTGTTAACGTCAACAAGGCAGCGTCGTAACTTACACATAATGCGCAATCAGCAATTTCCTCTCGCGTCTCTCTTGTTAATTTATAGCTAATCCAAAGGCACAATCAACAACAGGTCACGGCTGGTTGGCCACAGGTACAAAAAACACGTTCTTCTCACACGTAGCCTACAATTTACTGTGTTTCTTCATCTTGTAGGTTAAGATTTCCATCCATATGCTCTTCATTAAATCTCTGAGTTCATCCCACGACTTTCTCTTGGCATTGGCAAAGTAAAGGAAATCCCATTTCTGGCATGGTCCCTTGCTTACAAATGCATAGAAATCTTGGAAGTCTCCTCTCTCTTTCTTAATCAACTCGTCGGTCATGTTGTAGTGTGCCCTCCACCAGTATTTCATTCTGATTGGGGTTGGTAAGAACAGAGTCTTCTGTAAATATTGTGAGTATTGCATAATATATTCTTGCATCTTAACAAACTTCTTTCTTTCGAAGGACAGTATCTGGTTGAACAGAACGAACATCTCCTTGACAGTTGCATTCGGTCTGAGGTTCTTGATTCTGCTGTTTAATTCCTCTTCAGTCATCTGCTCCTGTAATTCAGCTCGGGTGCATCCGAATGGGAGTTGCTCATTATCACCCTGGGGTCGTCCATGCATGTCTCTGCCTTCATGTCTTCCACGTTCATCTGGACATCTCCTCATGAAATGTTCCCTGCCGTCGAATGCCTCATCGTCCATATCAGGTCTTCCGTCTCGTCCTGGTTCACCCCGTCCTTCTTCATTTTCCTCTGGTCCCTCAGGCATGGACTCGTCTCTTCCCTCTGGGATTTTTTCTGGTTCACCCCGTGGGCCTAATCTTTCTTCATCATAAAATAGGTCATCAGATTGTACAGGACGTGTACACGAATTAGGGCATTGTCTTGGGTCATGTCCATCATCCATACATCTGTGAGCAGAAGAGTTATGAGCTGCGTGATCATCATCTCTTCCACCTCTTGAAACATTAAATGGATTTTCATCCCTAGGGTCTCGGTTCAAATCTTCTTCATATCTCATGGAATTATATCTTTCATATTGAGCTGAACGGTCATCACCTCTTCTGAACCTGTCACTAGACAGATATGGGATATCCTCATCCATCATTCTTCTGGTTTCAGAATAATGACATGGACGGTCACCACATGTTCTAAACCTTTCACTAGAAAGATATGGCATATCCTCATCCATCATTCTTCTGGTTTCTGCATCATGACATGAACGGCCATCACATCCCCTTGCACCTCTTCTATAGAATTCATCATCAAATGATCTTTCACTACGTGGGTACTGTATTTCACGACCATCATCCCCAAAGCGTCTGTTATAATATTCTTCATAATCACCGATGACATAATAATCGTCATATCTACCTCTTCTTCTCATATCATCTCTATCGCGCCTGTCATCTCTATCGCGCCCGTCATCTCTATCCCGCCTGTCATCTCTATCCCGCCTGTCATC